GGTTTAGGGTTTAGGGTTTAGGGTTTGTCTAAATTTGTAACAAAGAGACTGCTGCTGCTGCCTCCGTGCACTCCTGCTTTACTTAGGGGGGCCCCGGGGGGCCCCCAGGGGCCCCCAGTCTCAGAGGGCCGCCGGGGGGCCCCCACTGGCGGCCTCCAAATTGCTGTTAGGAAGTAAAGAAATATATTATATTTTTGTTTTATTTATTTTTTTAATGTATTTTTATTTTTTTTATTTTATTTCATTAACTTATTTTATTTATTTGTTTTGGTGGTTTCACCAGCCTCCCATTGAGAGGCACAGCGAAAGGCAAGATGCCTCTAAACCCTTAACCCTAAACCCTAAACCCTAAACCCTAAACCCTAAACCCTAAGCCCTAAACCCTGGGATTTATCTAATTTCTAGCTCTTCTGCGGCTCCGTAGCTACAGCGAGCCACAGCTAGCTGGCTAAATATGACTAAACCCTAAACCCTAAACCCTATACCGTAAAGACCATCCAGCAACTTTTGAAAATATCTCTGGCTGAAACCCTAAACCCTAAACCCTAAACCCTAAACGGGGGCCGGAGGGATCTTAATAAGCCCAACTATGTTGAGACGTTGTCTTTTTTTAGGGTTTAGTGTTTAAAGTTTAGGGTTTAGGAATATCTAAGGAGCAAGCACTGCTGCAGCAGCAGCAGCAAAAGCTGCAGCACTGGAATAGAAGCAGAGCAGCAGCAGCAGCTAAACTGCCGCTGCTGCTGCTGCTGCAAATAAAGCGCTAGCAGGAGCAGTTCCTGCTTCAGCGACAGCGGGAGCTGCGACGAATGAACTAGCAGCAGCAACAAGAGCAGCAGCTGCAGCGAAAGCAGCAGCAGCAGCAGCAACAACAACAGCAGCAGCAACGGCAGCAGCAGCAGCAGCAGCAGCACTGTGGCTGCGTCTGGGGTGTACGTACACCCGAAGTGTGGGGAGAAAAACATAAAAAGAAATCTTGCTTTTAGATGCTGCAGCAAATGTCTTGTACAGTTTATGAAAACAAATGCATGCAAAAGTAAATTTTATTTTATTTATTTTTATCAATTTTATATCTGTGCATAATTATAAATAAAACACTAGCGAAGCAATACCAGCAGCAGCTAAAACGCCGCTGCTGCTGCAGCAGCAGCAGCAGAAGCAATACTGCTGCTGCTGCTGTTGCCACTGCAGGAGGTAAAACACAGCTGCTGCAGCAGCAGCAGGTAAATCACAGCCGCCTCCGCTGCTGCTGCTGCTGCTGCTGCTGCATATAGCCGAAGATATTTATTTTCCATTTTTATGAGCATGCAGAGGATATATATTAAAAAGCCGCAGAAAACGCAAATGGAATTAAAAAGTATTTACATTTTTTTAAGTAAAAACAGAGAAGAACATTTTGTTGCACTGTTCCGAGGTGTACGTACACCTAAACAGCAGGGCGAGTGGCTAGGAGCTTTTCTGCGTCAAAAATGCATTTTTGGATTTAAAAAAAGAAAAATAAAAAGAATAAATAGATTTAATTAGTTTAAAAAAGATTTAAATGTACTTTTAACTCCATTTAGATGAAAAAACCAAGAAAGAAACATGCTTTTCCGAAAAAGTGCAGATTCAGGTGAATCTGGTGCACAGTTCGGGTGTACGTACACCTGAAATTTCCCCGTCTCGGCCCGAACACACAAACGAGAAATATTTCAAAATCATTTTCAAACTATTTTAAATAAACAAATGCATGCAAAGATATTTGAATTTTAAAGTAAAATGCCATTAAAAGGGACCATATCTGCGCAAAAATGCAGAGTTCTTGAGCAAATTCAAAGAGAAATGGAATTCAAAAAAGCCAAAAAAGATGAAAATGCAACAGAGTCCGTCTGAAATGGAAAAGAAATTAAAACGAACTAAATTCAAAATAAAATTCAATTTCAAATTCGAGAAGAAATGAAGTTATTTCTACACTTCAAATTAGAACAGAAGAAGGCTTTGGCTGTGCGCCAGTTTGGGCTGTTGAAATGGAAGAAAAAAAGCTTATTTATTTATTTATTATTTATTTATTTATTATTTATTTATTTATTTATTTGTTTGTTTGTTTGTTTGTTTGTTTGTTTGTTTGTTTGTTTAAAAGCGGCAGAGTGCTGCGCCTCAGAGAGGCGCTTTGGCTGCAGCAGCAGCAGCAGCTGGTGAGACTGAGTGAAAAGGCGGACAGTTTTTGGTTATTAATGAACAATTTGTTTGAAATATAAAATTAAAAAGTAAATTTATTTATTATTTATCATTTAAATGGCGCTTTGCTTCTGGACTGGCGGGGGGTGGGCAGAAAAGGTGAAGTCACTGAGGTGTACATACACCCCAGCTGCCCGCGAGTCCGCGCACGCACAGAGCAGCAGCGCTTCAAATAAATCAAAAGAGGAAATTTAAAGATAAATAAAACAAAATAAGCTGCAGCAAATCGACTTCTGACGCTCAACGCGCAGCAGACAAGACAGATCACTGAATTTGGCTGCTGCGGCTGCTGCTGCTGCTGCAGCTGCTGCTGCTGCTGCTGCTGCTGCTGGCCCCCAGCGAGGGCACCTTTGGGGTGTTGCGCTGGTTTGCTTCTGTCTTCTCTTATTTCCGTCTTTGTCGACTCATAAGAACTCAATTTTTTGCTGTAGCAGTGGCAACGAGCAGCAGCAGCAGCAGCAACAGCAGCAGCAGCAGCAGCAGGAATCTTCTCCCCTTCAAGCACTTCTGGCACACCAGCAAGCAGCTCTTCTTTCACCTTTCGAGAAGCAAACAGCAGCAGCAGCAGCAGCAACAGCAACGACGCAGTTGGGCTGCTGGCGCTGCAGCGGGGAGCAGCAGGACTCTTGCCTGCAGCAGCTACGAGCACATTCCACAGCAGCAGCAGCAACAGCAACAGCAGCAGCAACAGCAGCAGCAACAGCAGCGCGTTGTCTCCTTCACTGCAGCAGCTGTCTCTCTTTAGCTGTGGGAGGCCAGGCAAGGCGACAGCAACGGCCTGCAGCAGCAGCAGCAGCAGCAGCAGCAGCAGCAGCTCGAACTGCTGCACCAAAACGTGTGCAGGCTGCCTCGCTGCTGCTCTGCACCGGCAGCAGCAGCAGCAGCATCAACAGCAGCAAGAACTGCAGCACCACCAGGCAGTGCAGCAGCAGCAACAATTGCAGCAGCAGCAGCAGCAGCACTCAGGCTATCTCGGGGTATACGGCGGCAGCAGCATGGTGAGCTTCTTGCATGAGCAGCAACAGCAGCAGCAGCAGCAGCGACGGCAGCAGCAGACGCAGCGGCAGCAGCAAACGCAGCAGCAAACAGCAGCACCTGCGTCTTGTCTCTGCGTGTGTGTAGGAGCCTAGCGGCAGCGGCAGCAGCAGCAACAGCAGCAGCAAGTGCAGCAGCAGCAGCAGCAGCAGCAGCAGCAGCAGAGACTGCTGCTTGTCCCCCCAGCAGCAGCTCGAGGGCGACCGCCTGGTGTCTGCATGCAGCAGCAAAAGTGTAAGACTTTTATTTCTTTTTATTTTTTATTTTTATTTTATTTCTTTTTAATTTTTATTTTTATTTCATTTCTTTTTTATTTTCTTTTTGTTTCTTTTTTATTTCTTTTTATCTCTCTTTAATTTATTTTTATTTTATTTATTTTAAGTCTTTTCTTTCGTTTTTCATTTTTAAATTTATTTTATCTTTTTTAGTTATTTAACTCCTTTCTAATTCTTTTATTCCTTTTACTTTACCCTTTTTTTCTTTTTAATTTCCTTTTAATTCCTTTTATTTCATTTCCTTTTAGTTTCTCTTATTTCCTTTTATTTATTTTTACTTAATTTTATTTCTTTTCATTTCTTTTTATTTCTTTTTATTTCTTTTTATGTCTTTTATCTCTTTTCCCTTTTAGATGCATTTTATTTCTTTCATTTTCTTTTTATTTATTTTATTTCATTTTATTTTATTTTATTTTATTTTTATTTCTTTTTTCTTTTTTATCAAACACCCCTCAACAAATTACTAAACAAATTAACAAACAGATCCTTTAACTAACTTATTTATTTAATCAAATTAGTTTAATTAAATTAAATTAATTAAATTAAATTAAATTAAATTAATTAGATTAAATAAATTTAATTAAATTAATTAAATTAATTAAATCAAACAAAGAACGAGCCAAATCAAACCAAACTAAGCACATAAATAAACAAATAAAAAACAACCAATTAACCAATTAAGCCAAATAACCCATCAAATTAAATAGCTAATTAAATCGAATTGAGTCA